GATTGATTGATTGATTGATTGATTGATTGATTGATTGATTGATTGATGATGCAATTCACTGCTGGATGGGTTGGAGTGAAGCGTTCCAGCTCCGTAGTCTCCTCCTCCAACTTCTCAAACAAAATCCTGAATGTTTGGTGTCAGGCGCCTGGTCTGCTGTCAATCAACCTGTTGTCAAGGTGACGGCAGCCCTCTCAGAGACCCGCCCACTCCGGAAGAGGAAGTTAGCTGAAAAAAAAAGATGAATTAATAACCTGACATTTGTCTTAGCTGCAGCGCCCCCTCTGGCTGGAGGTCAACTTTTAAATTATGATATAAGCCACTGCTGCAGTGCATTATGGGAAAGTGATTTAATCATGTCTATGGCTACAGTCAACCCTTTCTTACTTGCTGAGCGTGGAGGCGGAGCCTGAGCGGTGGAAGTGGACAATCTGCCACTTGCCGTCGCGGCGGTGCCACACCCTAGTCTCCTCTGACTGGGCGGTGCGAGGCGTGCCGTTGGAGTCGATGTACTGCGTCACTCTGATGTAGGCGATGCAGGCGGCCTCGTCACCCACCAGGTGGATGTGGGGGTTCAGGATGGTAGTGTGGACTGGTTTGCTGTTCTTAGACCACACTGGTACACAAACACAAACAAGTTCCCTGCACAGGTGAACAGGACACCAACCATCTATAAAACTCTGAAATTAAAAGGTCTGGTTCAACTCACGGTTTTCAAAATAAAAGCGGTGAAAGTCCAAACCTTCGACCAGGTTTCCCAAAGCCTCAGGTTCAAACGCTGTCACAGCCGGATCGCACATTTTACTGAGGACACAAAGGTTTACAGCTGGAATGAGTTTACAAACAAGAGGATTCATTTACAGATGAGATCAAAAGTTTACAGAAAGTTTTCAGACGGGACGATTTATGTTTGGACAGTTTTTGTCTTGTTGAGCTCTGAATTGTCAAAAATAATAACCTCATCCAAACCATCCACATGTCTGCTAGATCCCATCCACATGCCTGCTAGATCCCATCCACATGCCTGCTAGATCCCATCCCAACCAGACTGTTTAAAGAGGTATTTCCACTAATTAATGTCCACATTTTGGATCTACTTAATTTGTCTTTAATGGATGGTTATGTACCACAGAGCTTTAAGGTTGCTGTAATTAAACTTTAATTAAGAAGTCTGATCTGGATTCAGAAATTCTGGCCAACTATAGACCTATATCTAATCTAACTTTCATCTCAAAAATTCTAGAGAAAATAGTTGCAGGTCAGTTGCGTGAACATCTACAAAGAAATAATCTGTTTGAAGAGTTTCAGTCAGGGTTTAGAGCTCATCATAGCACAGAAACAGCACTAGTAAAAGTCACTAATGATATTCTCATGGCCTCAGACAATGGACTTGTGTCTCTACTGGTCCTGTTAGACCTCAGTGCTGCATTTGATACAGTTGATCACAATATTTTACTACAGAGGCTTGAATATGATGTTGGGATTACAGGAGCAGCTCTAAAATGGTTTAAATCATATCTATCTGATAGATTCCAGTTTGTAAATGTAAATAATAAATCTTCTTCATACACCAAAGTTAGTCATGGAGTTCCTCAGGGCTCAGTGCTTGGGACAATACTCTTTACTTTACATATGCTTCCATTAGGTAAAGTTATTAAACAGCATGGGATAAATGTTCATTGTTATGCTGATGACACACAATTATATTCGTCCATTAAACCCAATGAATCCAATCAGCTACTTAGACTACAAGCATGTGAATAGAATAGAATAGAAACAGCTTTTATTGTCCCATGGATGGGAAATTCAAGTGTAACAGCAGCAACAGATAAAAAGATTCACACAAAAAGTTCCTAAATTTTAAAAATTAATATATATATATATATATATATAAAATAAGAAACAATATCAATAATAATGTTCAATATGTATTACAACATTGAGAATAGCATTTTTCTATTCTAACCTACAAAGCTCTCAACAACCTAGCTCCATCTTATATTACAGATCTTATTGTTCCATATTTCCTAACAGAGCACTTCACTCTCAGACTGCAGGTTTACTTGTGGTTCCTTCCAGCAGCAGAATGGGAGGAAGATCTTCCAGTTCTCAGGCTCCTCTCTTGTGGAACCAACTTCCAGTTTCTGTCCATGAGGCTGACACATTGTCCAGTTTAAGACTGGGATTAAGACTTTCCTTTGTATTAAATCCTATAGTTAGGATCAGCTTGGGGTTCCTGAACTATAATAATTCTGCTGCTATAGGCTTAGACAGCAAGAGGACAAACTGACCTAATTTCCTCTCTCTGCTGCTGTCTTTACTTACTCTACTTTACATGTTTGTATTTGTAATTATTTCTATCTTAATATGTATATATCATGTGCATATTAGCTTATATTACTACCTCGAAATACTTGTTCAAAAACATCTGCTGCACCATTGTGTGCTGTTGCTCAGTATCTCTCTTAAGGACACTGTAAATATTTTAATTAATTACTTTTTCACTTTTTGGTACTTTTTTGGTGTACCCTTATTGCATGCTTTTATTGTTTCTTGTTTATTCTTTGATTTTTTTTTTTTTTTGCGAGTCAAATCAGTTCTTCTAATCCTGAGCATTTCATTGTACTGTTAACCCTGTGTTAACCTGCATATGACAAATAAACACGACTTGAACTTGTGTGTTTTTGTCTTTCCTCCTAATGAAAGTACACCTGGACTATTTAAAGTACACCTGGACTATAGAAAGTACATCTGGACTATAGAAAGTACACCTGGACTATAGAAAGTAC